CAGACTTGGACCGTCACGACTGGCTCCGAGCTGAAGTTGAACGAGATGGGGGGGGGGGGGGTACCTGCAAGGCACTCTGATGCTAAAGTGAGTGAGAGTACGAGCAGGCAAAAAGTATGAGTGTGGGTAAGAGAATGAATACCTGACCCTCTGGGAACGAAGGGTATTTATAGTCCCCAGCGTTGGGCCAAGGTCCCTTCATTGGGCCGGGCAGGTTTGGCCCAATGAAGGAACTGTCAGGTTCTACGTGTGTAGTGGGGACCCACACGTGGTCTCCTTCCTAGATGTTCTACGAGAAGTACGGACGGACGAGGACGCGGTCTTTTCGGAATTCAGGTGATGGTGTAGTGGTCATAGTCTGCCCTACGAGGGGCACTCGAGCTGGACTGCATGAAGTCGAGGATGTCGTATTAGCGGAGAGTGTCGGGCACGGCTGTGGCTTCTTGGTCGGCGCGACCCCTTGCAAGGCCGTTTGGATTGGACCTTCATCCTTGCTTTTGGACCAGCCCGGCCCAGTCCAGAACAGTACTGATGTCCCAACATCAGAACACAGTATCAAGATAAATGTTATGACATATGTTGAAACCGTCTTTTATTGTTGCTGGAACTATGTGATATGGTCAACAATTTCATTTGCAACTAAAACCACATCCAAAATTTGTCTTTTAGGTATGAAAGTTGATTGATTTTTTTAAAATAGTTGCATTGATCTCTGTTAGCGAGCACTTTGAAGATGACCTTGTTATATATGCACCCTATTAGAAGAATCCATGAAAAATTATAAATAACCCCTGCTCTCAAAAGAATCCACTTGAATTAGACTACTCTTTCTAGTGTAAGAGACCTATTTTGAGGCATATCTTATGCCTCCTTTATTAATATATCATCTTTTTTTCTATTTAAAAAAATTAAGGGTGTAAGTTGTCTCTAATGTGAGTATACCTAGAAAAAGGTGAGTAGTTGTTTTCTGGTGGTCCTCTCCTCGTCATAAAGTAGTAGAACCCCACATGACCGGCAGACCTAAGGGAACATTTTTTTTTACACATCTGCGTGGGAGGGCACTACTTATCATGAATCGCTTGGCTTGAGTTAGATATGGCAAATAGATATTAGAGCTATATTATTATAGCATGGAAAAAAATAAGAGAGCTACTTTTAACTACTCATTTCTTTAAAACGTGAATCCCTTTTCAAAGCATGCATATGAACATTAAAAATAGTTGATAGAAAATTGACAACATAACTTAAAACTCCTTGAATCCCTTTTAAGTATTATGGGTAATTGTAAGATAAATAACTTTACATCACATAATAATATCATCATACCCGACTCATCTCGAAAAACAATCTAAGCTCAAATGTACATAGACACTCATATTGTATCTAATCATGTTTGAAGTCTAACATATAAGTATATGGTTTTATCCAGCAATGAACTGTTTAGTGTAAACACGATGTCGCCGCTCTCGTGCATAGACAACCCAAAGGATCATGGACAACATTACACCACCAGAAACTGTAACTAGTCCAACGTAAATCCATTTACTACTTTTGCGCAAGCCGGGACAATAATCTTTGTTTATGTCGGTGAATGTTTTACACACAAAAGTGCAGTCTTGTAGCTCAACCAAGAATGGGACATAATGATATAAGGCATAGCTTACATTGACAGCAGCTTCGATTTGGGCAGAAATGGCCGGGGTCATTCGACCAGGCGTCCCGCAAATGCCTGCAGGGGAAAGTTCGCATACATATTTCTTCCAAACCTGGATGAAACAAAAACGTAAACGTTACACGCGTTGTGTTATACCAGGAGCATGCATCAGTTTGAATCAAAGTCATAAAAAAGTGTCTTACCTGAGTAGCATTGTCGAGTGCAACTTCGTTGGGAGTACATTGCCGAATAGTGAGGTCGGTGTTGTAAGGATTGCACAGAATAGGCATGAGGCGTCCCGATTGATTGTAATACGCAGCTCCGGCTTGAGGTGAGAAGTTTCTGTTTGTGACACTGTTAATGACTTTGTCTACCAATAAAACTAGCTGGCTCGTAACATCCCTGCTTTGTGACAAGGTTTGTTGAGCAGTTGCATTATCCACGCATGGAAGAATTTCATCCAATGCTGTATGTGAAGTTGGGTTCTGACCCACTCGTCCATCGAAACACATGAATCCCCAACGACACTAGTGCAAAATAAACAACAAGAATAAAGTGAGTCTTGCATTATTTTGCAATGAAAACATGTGATTATTTTCTACGAAGCAATACAAACACGAACACTAGACACGACACTGACACGTCGACACCGGTAATGACATCAAATAGCTAATATAAAACAAAAACAGGAACTTACTTGTGAAGAAAAAGAAAGACACCACATAGTATGAATGTGCCGGCAACAAGAAATCATCCGACAAATACCAAACTGCAGCAATTGGAAACACATCACTTACAAACTGCAGGACATGAAAAGAAGGAAAATAGACAAACCGATTTATTGATTCAAAACTTACAAGTATACAAGACCTTGCAACCCCAATATTGAAAATACTGCAAAGAAAATAGCTCACAACAAGGTGTTCCGCACCATTTACTATGCTAGTAGAATTCTAATTGAAGCACAAGTTAACTACACTACAACTGAAAAAGTGTTACTAGCGGTTGCCTTTGTTTTTGACAAGTTCAGATCCTATTTTATAGGAGCAAAGGACATTGTATACACTGATCATAGTGTCATCAAGTACCTACTTGCTAAGAAGGATGTCAAGCCACGGCTCATAAGATAGATACTTTTTCTACAAGATTTTGATTTGGAGATTAGAGATAAAAAGGGAGTTTAGAATTTGGTTGATGACCATTTGTCAAGATTACCAGAGGAAGTCCAAGACAAAAGTAGTGGAGAAATTCAGGAGAATTTTCCTGATGAGAAGCTATTACTGATAATTATAGGCGTGACTCCATGGTATGCTGACATTATCAACTATTTGGTCAGTATATTTGTTCCACCTAAGTTCAATTCTCAACAAAGAAAAGGTTCTTCCATATGACCAGAAGTTACTTTAGGGATGAACCTTTCCTTTATAAAAAGTGTGTTGATCAATTACTAAGAAGATGTGTGGATCAACCAGAGGCACGATAGATATTATCTTCCTGTCATAAGGCTCTTTATGGAGGACATTTTGGAGGAACCAAAACTACTGTCAAAGTTCTACAATCAGGTTATTTCTGGCCCTCTCTTTTTAAAGATGCTCGCGAACTAGCTATGAAATCTGTTAGGTGCCAAAGAGTGGGAAATATCTCCAAGAGGTCAAAGCAAGTCCTTATTTATAGACTATTGCAGTATAGGCATGGACTCTTTAAATCAAATCTAATCTTCACTTTTTAAATTAGCCGCAAGATCTTCACATAAAAATAGGAACAAATTTTTTAAAGTTTTCTAAAAAGTCTCCAAAATCCATTTTAATGAAACAAATCAAATCTACACATGTTCCTAATAAATCTACTTGGCCTGCGAAGAATAATGATATACATCCAAAAGGATCTCTCAAAAACAAAGATGTCAAGATGTCAAGACATCTGACTCAACATTTGTCTGGTACACATGAAGAAATAGTGGTTGAGTAAAACAAAGACTCTATGAAGAAATTGGTGTGCACGAGACAAACATCCAGCTTCCCAACCATCCGTCTGATACATCATGGTTGTGAAGCTTGATGTTTGTCTCGTGCCCACCATAAAGAAATAGTGGTTGAGTAAAACAAAGTTTCTATGAAGAAATTGGTGTGACTTTAGTTAGTTTTACTAAACTCCGTAATGAGCACCAATTGTTCCTGTAAAAAGTACAATATTTGTGACCTTGCATGTATTGGACAAAGAAAGTCGCAATCTAAGTAATATGCAAATAATTGATCATTAAATATGTTGTCTCAAGCTCAATTGCATAAGATATACCAATAACTTGTAACATGACTTGATCTTATCGGTTTATCAGAACTTGCAAGGTGGTTGGATGATGATCATCAAATAAGCTGGAAAGTCAAAGAAGAAGAAAGGGGGGTTGTACCTACAAGGCACTCTGACGATCAAGTAATTGCGGGAGCAAAAAAGATACAAGCAAAGTGTTAGGGTTTTAGTGATGAATAGTGGATATTCGATACCTGACTCTCATATGAGTGAGGGTTTACATAATGCCCCTGGCGCTTGGCCATTGGTCCATATTTTTGGGCCTAGATATGCCGGTCCACAAAAATAGGTAACTTCCAGGACTTGGTCAAACCGGGCAGGTTTGCTCGCAACTAGCCGTTAGTTCCGAGGAGGAGGTAGGTTACGGGCAACAATTTAGTCGATCCTGGTTGTCTGGCCGACTTGAGGTCGGACAGACTGAGAGACGTTTGTTGATTGTCGTAGGCCAGTGTTGATTCAGGAGGACAAACGATTGATAGTGCCCGACGGATAGCAGAAGAGCTCGGGCCGTGGTCGCACGGACCGTGCCGAAAGAAGATGTTAGACTGAGGCTACTCTAATTATCTGGTCAGTCCAGAACATGACTCACGGCTGAATCAAATCCCTATCTCAAAGTTGAGTCATAGTTGAGTCGAACTACTAATTAAATCATCTCGGCTAATAACAATGGAGAGCTAGCTAGTCAATATGAATCGAGATCAGATTCACATCACATATGCCTATTTAAGTAGTCTCCCAAAAATTAACGTGCTCTACAGCAAATGGATTGAGTCTTTTTTATATACGACAGACTTGAAATATAATTAATATATAAACTATATATTTTGATACTAAAACAATTATAACAAGATGATGAAATATATAAATTAATATAATATTATAAAAATCATTTAAAAAAACTCAAGACTAATATCAATGCGAATCTAACCTAAACTCATTCATCAGTAAAAATTTACAAGTATAAAGAACCAAACTTCATAGGAACTGTTATCAGCTTTACCAAACTTTCCTCTGTGCTTGCTTTTTCTGAATTTAAACTATGAGTTGGTGGTTGTCAAGATCTATAGGCGCTGCCAAGGTAAATCATCTCTCTCACTTCCATACATTATTCATTTTTATTTACAATTCTTCTTAATTCTTTGCAGAAGAATTTAGACGAAGATGAAGCACCGCGAACCTCCCAGAGCGTTGCTCTGATAATCGGCGTCACAGGCATCGCCGGCAACAGCCTAGCCGAAATTCTACCTCTACCCGACACACCAGGTGGCCCATGGAAAGTCTACGGCGTTGCACGGCGTCCTCGTCCTTCCTGGAACGCCGATCTCCCAATGGAATACATCCAATGCGACATCACTGATTCAAATAACACCCAAACCAAACTCTCCGTTCTCACCGATGTAACTCACGTCTTCTTTGTCTGTTGGACAAGCTGTCCCACGGAAGCTGAAAACTGTAAAGTTAACGGCGAGATGTTGCGGAACGTCCTGCGTGCCGTTATCCCAAACGCTCTGAATCTCCGCCATGTGTGCCTTCAGACTGGCGCCAAGCACTATGTAGGACCGTTCGAACTGATCGGCAAGATTAATAGCCACGAGCAACCGTTTACGGAGGATCTACCGCGTTTGGATGCACCTAATTTTTATTATGTTCAAGAAGATATATTGTTTGAAGAAACTCGTAAGAAAGAGGGTTTGAGTTGGTCTGTTCATAGACCTCAAGTTATATTCGGATTTTCCCCTTATTGTTTGATGAACCTTGTTGGTTCACTTTGTGTTTACGCTGCAATTTGCAAACACGAAGGTGTTCCTTTGAGGTTTCCTGGTACTAAGGAAGCTTGGGAGTCTTATTCTGTGGCTTCTGATGCGGATTTGATTGCTGAGCAATATATTTGGGCTGCACTGGATCCCTATGCTAAGAACGACGCTTTCAATTGTAGCAACGGTGATGTTTTCAAGTGGAAGCAGTTATGGAAGGTTTTGGCGGAACAGTTTGGGATTGAGGAGTATGGTTTCGAGGAAAAAGGCTCTCCTTTGAAGTTTTCGGAATTGATGAAGGATAAGGGTCCTGTTTGGGATGAGATTGTGAGTGAGAAGAAGTTGCAACCAACGAAATTGGAACAAGTTGCTGAATGGTGGTTTGCAGATTTTATGTTTGGAGGAGAAGGGTTTGTGGATAGCATGAACAAGGCTAAAGAATATGGGTTTGTAGGGTTCAGGAACACTAAGAATTCTCTTATAAATTGGATTGGTAAGACCAGAGCTTACAAGATTGTTCCTTAAAAATAATATCTATCTCATAAATTGGATGTATAAGACCAGAATTTACCAAGATTGTCAATTCCTTAAAAATAATATATTTGTTGGATATCTTACTGTTTTTGTCTAACTATAATTGTTTCTAAAATAATAGCTTCCAATCGGAGTATCTCTACAATACCCGGGGGAGAAATTATAGTTGAATGCAGTACTCGTATGATATGATTTATTATTTGATTGGCATAATTTGTAATTTTCACATATATCTAAACATATACTATGTATTTGTTATACGAAAATTAATGTTTTCCACCGATTCTTAACCACCACTTTTGTAAGATAAATGATAGGGAGGTTCTAAGGTGAAGTCTGCATATTAATTTTTTTTTTGCAATCATTTTAATTGGTCAATTATAACATACTACTATAAATCTTAACTGTCGTATCATTATTTATATAACTTCTATTTATTGTTTATATGTCTTTCATAAAATTAATATCAAATTAAAAATAATTTGTTTTGACAAAATCAATTCTGAATTGAAAGCCCTAAATCTCAAACCCACATTTCAAAAGATTGTCTCCATCTTCTTCTTCTGATCATCCATCTTTCTTTAGTGGTGCATACCGAATTCGTATTTGTTTCAGTTCATTCTTCACTTTGTCATCAACTAACAATGATCCATCATACTCATCCTCGTTCAAGGGTGTCGAACAATTTCCATCTTCGTTGTGCTATTGTCTCACCCAGATTCACAGTGGAATAACGCATTCTTTTTTCACAGGTAGTTGTTCGTCTATCTCAATCTTTATATTTTTCAAAAATCAAGTTGATTTGAGTTATTATACATAAATTATTGTGGTTTGGGGATTGTGGTTTGTATTTTAAGTTGAAATTCATAAATTCATAAAAAATGCATTTGAGTTGAATTGTTAGATAGTGAAATAATCTTAATTTAATTGAATCTTCAGGGTTTCAATTGAATTCTTTGTTTTTCAGTTGCATAAAGATGCATTTGTGTAACTGTGATGCGGTGGGAGAACTGACTTGAGGTTTTTCATTTTGTTCGCAAATGTTGCGGTTAGCAAGAGTCGCCACCGACTTTTCTTTTATCCAAAAGGAAAGGTAAAAAAAGCACAGAAAAGACCTTTGAGATTGTTTTCGGGTTCGGGGGGTAGATTATGAAAAGAGAAGGTGCTAGCACCCTTTTCATCCATGGTTTTCCATGGGCTCTTAGTTACTTGTTTAGATCACTTGCTTTGCTTTTGAAATTGTTTGAAATGGTGCTTAGTGTGGTTTTGAAAGTATTTTGAAAAGAAGCTATCGTTTAGGCAATCTTTGTAATGATTCTCGTTCGTGAGAATGTATACCAAGATGTTTGTCTTTTGAAAAATGTTTCAATGTTTTGAAAGTTGTTTGGAAATGTTTTGAAAATGTGTGTGTTTGTTTGAAAATAGCAAGGATTGTTTACAAATTGATCAAGTAACTAGAAGCTATCTATTTACTCAAAAGTCTTTCTTGTACATTTTTATTCATTTGACATTGTTGATTTACCATTGATTTGGTAAATAACCATGTCTTTGGATGTTAAACGGGACGGGTGTGGGTCATCGTATGACCATGATAGCAATGTTGCCAAGTATCATAGCATGCTTACGGGACCAAGATCATTTGTTTTTAGGAAACCTTTTGATAGCGCCATCGAGGGACTATGATCTTTTGTTTTGTTTTGTTTTGCTTTGCCAAGATACTTTGCATGCATACCATGGCCATTTTTTTAAGGCAACCAAGTGGGTGAAACCCTAGGGGTGCTTGTGTGTAATGTGTGTTATTTTCATGCATTTTTGCCTTGCATTAGGTCTTTGCTATTGGTTTGATTTTTATCTTATCATGTAAAACCCTAGTTTACTACACATGCATATAATGCGATAAATTGCGTAAAATAAATCTAAGCTATTACAACAATTATTATGGGAGGGGGGATACAAGTTTTTGAATGGGGGTATTTGCAAAAAATAAAATCCTAAAATACTATTACAACCCAATTGAATTAATGTACAAGATAAATAAATAATTAAGTATTTAAATATGCAATAAAATGTACTTATGCAAAAAATATTTTGTATTTGTTTTATGTATGAGAAAATACAATTATTTAAGTCCTAAAAATAAGAAAAAATAACATTATTATTTTTGAAAGGGGAAACCCTAATTTTTTTTCTTTAAAAGAAAATTATGTTTTCTATTATTATTTTGTCCATTTTTGTATAAGAAAATATAAGTAATATTATATACAATATTTAAAAATTAAATTATGTATGAAAATAATTATTTTAATGTATAAAACAATAAAATAAAAATGTATGGTATTTTAAATATTTTTACAAATTTTATTTAAGAAAATAAAGTTCATTATCCTAATAAAACTATTTTTATGCCAAAAAATAATAAAAAAATAAAATAAAATACAAAAAATTAAGAAAATATTTTTGTAATTTTTTAATGTTCAGAAAAAATTATTAAAATCAATAAACATAAAAATATAAGAAAATATGAAAAAAAATATACAAAATAAGCAAAGAGGGATGCAAATAGTGGATCAGGGGGTGTGGAAAGTAGAAATAACAAGGCCCAGGCGCGCCATGCCCAGACAGGTCGTCCCTGTCCTCCAACTCCTCTCAAACACGCGCGTTTTTGCTTCAACCTGTAACTCTCTATTCTTTGCACAAAAACGAAAACTTATAACACAAAAAATGTAGCTTATGATCTCACGATTCCAGTGATATAAAGTTTGTGACCTAACTCTAAAAGACCAGGTGTTTACAGTTATTTCTGGTAAACAACTGCTAGTCCTCCAAACTATCAAATAATCTTAATGACTGTTATTTAATCTCTCTGGTAACTTGCAGGATCGACTAGATTGATCCTAGGATGTATTGGTCATTTGGATAATTCTCATTATAGAACTGATATCCATGGTTGGTATTTAGAATATTGTGTAGGTGTTCAACTTACTTCGATTACTCTATTAAAGATCTAATGACATGATCAAGTAAATGCGTGCGAAACTAAATTGCATGAATAAAGTTCAATTGTAAAGACATGTAAAACTGCAGAAAAGACAAGTAAATGACTTCGAAGCATAAAAACATGTAATGTAAAAGCGTTTCTGGAATGTAAGAGATTCGAAATATGAAGAAAGCGTTTAAATGCAAGAAATCAGTAAAATGACTTTGAATGAAAAAGGTATTCGAATGATAAAAGCATGAAGATAAAGGCATGAAATATACAAAAGTTTCTGAAATGTAAAGGATTTGAAATGGAAAGAAAACATTTAAATGTAAGACATTAGTAAAAAGACTTCGAATAAAAATATTTTAATGTAAAGGTTTTTGAATGATATTGACATGAAGATAGAGGAAAAGACTGGAAATGATAAAGAGTTTTATTGAATCATAAACACTTGGTGTTATCATACGTACATTGTTCGTGCATTCGTTTCCCTAGCCATGTGGTATTTTGAATGTTTACTGAATTTTTGTACAATAGATATGACACACGAAATCCTAATGCTAAGACTTCTATTTATACTACTTCAACCATAACGGTCTTGCTGTAAGATTCTGCCACGTTCAGAACATGCAAAGCAATGCCCTCCTCTAGCTTCCACGCGTCTTCGAATGCTCCAGCGCATATATTTTAAATTTCGAACATCCTGCTTGCGTTTTGAATTTCAAATGTTTTGGCACTCTTCGTTTCGAACTCATTTCTTGGACACAGCCTTGTTACCATTTCGAGACTTCTTTGAATATATCCCCATAACTGTCACTCGAAGCTCAGAGTTTTGACATGCCCATTCGAAGCACTGCTTCTACCATTTCGAAACATGACATCTTGCTTTATTCCAATCGAAACATCTAACTTGCTTCGCTTCGAACAATATCATCAAAATCTTCAGCCAACAAAATACCCCTTTAAAATATGTATTTCGATTCCTTTGAGAAATACTTATTTTAAACATATACACAAGATTTTGATGCGACCTTTGAATCATCATAACATTTATTGCATATGACTCCAGTCACGTCAATCATGACGCTTTTCAGATTCCTTAACCGCCTTGAACCATTTCACAGCATGGTGCAGTTACAAAACAATGATTATTATTTAATCACGCCTATTACCAATATTAACTTTTACGCCACCTCCTTCTCAATCCAACCCACGACTACCACGTATCACAATCTTACTCAGTGGATGTTTAAACTTCCACACTATAAAAACCCATCAACTTAGTCTTTTATTTTTCTTCCCACATTCTGAATCTTTTCTTCCTCTCTTCTCACCGAAACCCTAAAACTTCCAACACTCTTCAAACAATGTCTTCTTCAACTTCATCTCAACTGAAAAAAGCTTCCAAAAAGAAAGGAAAGAACACAGGAACCATAATGGAAAGCAAGGTTGGCACCTACCAAGGTCAGTATGTGCTTATTCCCCAGATGATCTCCAAAGATAAGGAAATGCTTTACGCATCTCAGGTACTAATTCCTACTAACGCCGCTGGCAAGAGGTTAGCTTTAATGGGCCCTCTTACAGTCTTTGAAATCTTAAAAGATACCAGAAAAATTTTCCCCGTTTGTTATAATTTTAAACCTTTGTTTAATAAAATGGATACCCCTAAAACAGGGGAGTCTTCTAATTCGACCACCGTGGAAACTCCAATCATTCCCCCTAAGGACCCTTTTTTACTAGATTATGTAAAGAGTAACTTCAAACCATTTAGATCTTGCCCCACCTCTGACACAGCTTATCACAACTGGTTTACTAAAGTAGAAGCTAAGAAATCCCAGCAATGGGAAGAATTAGGCATTTACAACTTGATTAAACTATCGAAACCAGGCTTTACCTATAGCCACCCATTATTATTCGCGTCCTTATATTTCTGGGACAGTACCTACAATACCTTCCATCTCCCAGGAGGAATGATTACACCCACCTTTTTTGACATAGCTGCTATTACTGG